AAGCATAAAAACTGTTGACTTTCTGTTTCAATAAAAGTTGAAACATTGTGGCTCCTAGTTTCCTACTAGCTATTCTGGTATGTGTACAGTGTATAGAAAATACAGAATAATTAGTAGGGTACAAAACTTTATTTCGCTCTTGTAGTGTCAACATGTTGAAGAAAGCAAATGCTGCTTCTGAATTTCTGTATAGCTCAGAAGGAAAAAAACATTCAATAGAAGTCTTTTTAAAGAGTAGCTGACTATGTTGTTTTATAGGTAGGAGCATGAGAGTTTTTTAAAAAGCTTTTTTTTTATTCAACTGAATCACTGTCTGAAGGGGGCAAATTTAGACAAGATAATAAAGGAAGAAGTTCAGCCCTGCTGTAGGAAGATAGCTGTCTACCCACTGTGGTGTACTTGGATTTTCTCATTGAACCACATAGTTGAAATAAACCAAGAAAGGACATTTGTTCTTCAATGGCAGCTCGTGTTCTAGAGCCTATAACTTGCTTTGCTAGAACCCCTGACTTGTGAGTGTACCGCTTGTCTCCTCAAGACTGCAAGCTAAGAGTTTCAGATGCCTAAATATGCAGCTAGAACTGAAACACTTTGGTCAGCTAAGACTAAGACACTATGAAAAATGAGCCAGTAGTTTGTGAGAAGATTTCACCCAAAGAGGAAGCTCTGCCGAAGCTGTTTTATGTTAGGAAAACTGGAAGACTGATGTTAAATAGCATGGCAGGGAGGTTTTTCTCACATTGCTTTTGTCAGCCACTGTGCAGGATAAGCACTGCTAGAAGGCGTTGCACTTACCTGTGTGTTCCTTTCTCCACTTGTTGTGCTGAGGGGAAGAGAATAATCCCCAAAGTACAGGGGAAGAATATAGCCCCTTTTCCACAGTGCTTCTGTCAGTGTGAATGGCTGTCCTGCATGTACTGTCAGGACAAGACCTCGAAATTAAGTAGGTGCATATAAATGAGATGGATAATGGCTAAATTTCAGGCTTGCAGTTCATTAGGTGGTCTCAAAAATTCCTGTTTGGTTGCCTAGGTATCTTGAGAACTGGCTTTGTTCATTCATATGTATACACATGAGGAACAATTTTTAATCACGCAGTGGATGGCAGGCCCCCTCGGACTAGCAAAGGTGAAGCAAGAACAAGTATTCCACTTGCTGGGGAAAAAAGTGGTTGAATTGGGGACTGAACTGGGATTTGGTCATCAAGGAGTCCTTTCCAGAAAATTCCAGAGGCAAACCCTGCTCTTGCTGGATCGTAAGGAGCCAGGTCAGACTCCTCTTTGTTTCTTCTAGCTCCAGGAATTTTCTTGGTGGCACTCTTGGCAGGAACAGTGAATCCTAGATCAAGACAGTCTCCTGGCAGATAAGAGAACAGAAATACTTTCTAATCTCTGATCTTTATGAGAGCCTAGAAGCTGCATCTCCCAGTTTGTCTGAAAGAAATGCACTGTCATATCTGAGATTTTCAGTATGTGATTTATCTCATGAGGGCCTCTTGCAGGCCTTTGAAGTAGGTGGAGGGGAGGGATTTGATTGGTTTTGCATGTTCGTGCCAAATCCCATGGTAAGTAGACGAACTTGAGAACTTGAGGTTATGAGATGTTGTGGTGTATGTATTATGGAACACAATAATTCTCTGAACAGCTTCTTTTGCCACTGGCTTTACAACTTGGGGTTGAATTTCCTTCTGTTCCCTGGCAGGTTCTGCTGACCTCCTCTTTTTCACATGCATGTGCACCTCCGCCCTGTAACCTTCAGCAAACTTTGCAGTGCATTGCATCTCTGAATGACAAAGAATCTTGCCTCCCTGACAGGTTTGTTTAGAACTTGCCTATGGTTTAGTGAGCACAGATAAATAAACTCTGCCTTGTTACCTTGTCTCATTTCTGTAGTAAGCTGAACTTCATTTAAGTAAATGCAAGGTTGAAAAATCAAGTTCTGAGAAATTTGGAAATGCTGTGATTCAAGTTGTCCAGGTGCTTGCCAGGATTTGATCTAGATCAGCACCTTTTCTTGCTGTTGGATGCAGTGAGAGGAAGTGCATACAGGTTCATACGCTTCGGTTCCTTATCTGTATAACAACAAGTTACATTCAGTTCTCCTTTAGAGATTTCAGGATTAGCATTTCAAGTATTGTGGGATGTGGATCTTGTGTGAATACAAAGATATACAGGATGGTGACTTTTCCACATGGATGAGCTAGATCTGCTTGGAGTTCAAAGTATTTGACTAGTTCCCAGAGTGTGTGTACTTTCTCCTATGTTGTTGATGAGGATGTTGGCCAGCCGGCCTTGTCTTTACTTTGTTGACATGTGTGTTTTGTGCCTTTTGTCACTCACACTAAACAAGAGTTTGAACACAAGCAGCTTTTCATGGCGGCAGTTCAGTTGAGTTTGTTTGCTGTTGGCAACCAGTTGTAAGATTTTCTTAATGTTAACTGAATGACTGGAATTCCTGGGCATGTTCGAAGGGGTGGGGGAATAAATCCAGAAACAAGTCAGCATGAGTGAACTTCATTGAAGATCTCTTGTTCCATTATCAAAAACATCATTTACCAAATGGTGAGAATGGGATGAGGTTTTCTAAACTGCCACTTGGTGGAAAAGAAATCACTTGGTGCTTCTGTGTAGAAGTCTGTTCTTTAACTGAAACTTGCAGTTCACTATTTTTAAGAGCATTCCCATAGATAAGAGACATGTTTTCAAACCCCAGCAGGCCTTAGGCAAGCTTACAACTTTAGTTTGTATTTAGGGCCAGCTGATGTACTAGCAGAAACAACACTGTGGTGTTCTGCACATAAAGCAGTTGAGAACCAAGCCCTGAGCTCAGCATCAGAGTACTGGCACACCTCTGACTGATGCTGTAGTTAGACAAATATTTTCTCAGAGGCCAGTGTTGGCTTCAGCACCTCCACTTCATGCTGTCCCTTCAGTTTTGCTACCGCAGTTGTTCCTGCAGCAGTTTGGTCGACTGAGCTTGTAACGCCTTGGTAAGGTTATTTTTTAACCTGAATCTGCTCTTCAGTCTGGTTTACTGCACAAGGCAACAAATAGTTAAACCAGATTGTCAGAGGCAGGACAGGATAAGAACTGGTGCTGGGTTTACTTAAGCAGACAATGCTACCAGACAGCTCCTGGTCAGGCTGGCTGAGATGTTGGTGGGCTGCCAGGTTTCCTTCAGGTTGCATGTCTCGGAGCAGAGGTTTCCTTCTGCTGTGCCTACTTAGAGCTGTCCACACCACATGTAAAGCCTGGAAACACTGAAGCAGAAAAGAGCAGTTCAGCTTTATCTGCCATTTCAGCTTACTCTGACATCCAAGCTTCTTTGATTTGACCCCTCAGAAAGGGGGAAGGCACAGTCCTGATCCTGCGTTTGCATTATGCATTGTAGCAAAACCAGTGGAGCACTTAAGTTGCCTGTTTTTGAATAAGTAGTTTGTTGCTGAACCTCTCAGACTGTTTGCAGTGTGTAATTCCAACAACGTATTTACACTTCAGCTCAGGAGCTGTGTCTGTAGCCAATGTGTGCTCGAGTCATGGGGCTCTATTGGGTTTTATGGGTTTTTTGCTTCAGGGAGCACACAGAAGCAACGCTTTTTGGCCACTCCGTGTGTCTCTTGCCCAGCCTGCAGCTGTGATCTGCGATTCGCTGCCTGACCACTAGCAGTGGACACCTCAAAGGCATCTGAAGTCCTTCCGTTATCTTCACACTGCCCAGGCCAACATTCTTTCTATAGAAACATATTTTAATCAAAGCTAGAAAGCAAAACAACTCACTTGAAAACAAAGGCTAAAACCCAGGATGCAGAGTGTTGCATTTGGGGAAGGGGAGGGGAGAGATTTCGCCATCGTGTGCTGGAATATGCCGGCACCCAGCCAACTTGCCTCCAGCCTCCCCTGGGCGCAGGACAGGAGCCTGACTTGTCCCTCCTCTCCTCAGAGCAGGGCAGCAAATGTAGTCTCCAGCCTAATAAAATCAAGCAGCCCTCACATGTGCTGTGAAACAGGTCAGAGGGAGGTAAGCCAAAGGGCTGTAGTGAAGAAGCAGTGCTTTCTTGGAGTGCTTCAATTTTAGTGGGATAGCAGTGAGAGTAAGAAGAATGAGCACTAATCATGTGTTCGGTGTCTTGTGCAATCCCCTTGGAGTACCATCAAAGTCAAATCACAGCACTCTGCTAGCTTCAGGGAGAACTTCTGGACTTGAACAATATGGGTGGAAGAAGGAATCTTAAAACTAAGAGACAGAAACCATTAACTAAGCATTTGAAACCACAGTTCCCAGGGCTTTTCACACAGTCATAATCTTACTGATGTTCTGACCCTGGCATATTTGTAGATGTATACATAATAACAAGATGCAGACCAGATAATAATGCGTGTGGCTCTCTAGTTGAGTATTAAGACCGCAACTGCTCTCCTCTTCCTTGCAGTGGTGAAGTCCTGTAAAAGTAGATGATTCCTAAAATTTGCCTAAAAATTGTCTTGCTGTAGTTTGGACAAGACAGAAGTATTGATCTACTAGAGCAAGTTTCTTGCTGTTTCTGAAACCTTGACAGCCATCCTGTATCTTCAATTACTTATGAGCGATCTGGAGGAAGAAGGCATTTTTGTAAAATCTGAGACAGCAAAAACACAAATTCTGAGTTCCCATGAAATCCTCCCTTGTTTATCAAGAGATTCTCAGTGTGTGTGAGAACAGGACTATGCTCTTGATTTAGAGCCAACTCAAGAACTGGGTTGAAACAGGCTAATTTTATTGTTGAGGGGAGGTGAGGGTTAACAGCAGCAGAGTTGACAAGGTGGTGGTTTTGCATTTTCAATTTGCTGCTTTTATTACTTCAACTTTTATTAAGATTGTAGAGACATGTCCGTTTCTCCCCACATCCCCTACAGTTCTTAAACAAATATTCTGAGTTATGCCATTAATTTTTAATCCTCTCCTTTTACTTCTTGCAGTTCTTGTGTGATTGGTGAAAATAAGCCTACGCTGCAGGGATACAAGAGGAACAACAGTCTGAGGTAGGGCTTGGAGCTGGAGTTTGTTTCTCAGTACAATTGTAGGGAAGGTCAAGACTCTCAATCAGCCAGGTTCTTCCACTCATCCTCAGGGAAAGTCTGCAAAGTCTGGGGGTTGAGACCACCCGTGTGAGGCCCCTTTTAAAACGGGGTGGAGGGGCTAAGTGATTTTTTTTTTTTTGCCACATTTAGGTTCTTCCTTTTCTCCTTTCACATCCGTGTATTTCAAAACCATTTTCTGGTGAAGCTCAGGAATGTTTTCTTATGAGACACAAGAATGCTGGTTCCTGTATCCTGTTAATTAAAAAATAAAAAAAGGAACAGCAGATTTAATGTGGTGCTTAGTGCTTTTCCCACTGTAATGTTGTTATGATGACAAAGCCAGCATAAGTGACAGGATTAATTCCATATGTTACAGATGGATACATTCTTCCAAAATATTTTTGTGACTAGAGTTACGTATGCAAGCAGTAGAGTCAAGCCATATGTTGTGATCAAAAGCTGAGCTGGTGTTAAATTATATTTGTGAATGTAATTGCAATTTACAGTGTAATTGCAGTTTGCAGTTGTCACTGAACAGACTTCTGCTTTGTAGTGAAAGGATAATATGTGACTGTGAATGTTTTAAACTTTGCACTGTAAAGCTGTTGTACTTTTTGATCTTACTTCATGAAATGTATGGTAAGTTTTGCCTTGCCTTCAGTGGGGCCAAGCTAAGACAGCAGGATTTATTATCTGAAAATTAGTGTTTGGTATAATGGAATGCAAGAAGAAATTAATTACTCTTGTTGAAAGCTTTTAACAGTTGGATGTGCTTTGTACAGTCCTGTTTTAAATCCCACCAGGTTAAATACAAAGTAAATAAACCAATCATTCTAGCTCAAAATCTGACATCCTTCAGGAAAGCTTGGCTGCTTGCTTGCTGACTCACTAATACTGTGTTTCATTTGGAAAGCATTTGAATGATGGTGTATTCACATCCTGTCTAACTTTTTGACTTAATGTTGTTCAAGGATTCCAGATTCTCCCAATAGTCATCCTGATTCAACTTTGAATTAATATAGCTGCCTAAAGATAGTTCATAGTTGAGCTTTCCCTGATTCTTAACTCTCTTTTCTGCATTAATTCTGCCTTTTTAACATGGATGACATAGGCTGAATGACTGGGATTGTTTGAGTTCTACGCATGGCTTTTAAAACCTACCTGTTAGTTAAAAATAAGAAAGGTTTTATTAGCCAAAGACCTGCTGCATGTAATTCTAGTGATAATATTTAAAACTCAGTCTTTGAGAATCTTTTAAATTACTTTCTGACCCTTCAGAGAGTAAAACTATGCAGATGCTTTGCATCCTTTTGACTTTGATTTCTGATGTATGTAAAGTCAACATACACACTAACTTTAAGTTGGGTGAGCATATTGTAAATATGCCAACAGAATAAAATACTTGAGCAGACTCTTCTAGGATGGAAGCGTGTATTCTTGTGAGTGCTGGTTAACTTTGTCAGACTCCTGGCAGACTAATGCTTACTGGTGGTTGAGTCAAATATGCCATCTTATAAATGGAAATGGTATTACAATAATCAGTGCACATTTTGGCTTCCAACACAGAAATATACTACTGTAGTAGTGTTAAACTCGGTTCTTTTTATTCTAGAATCAGATTTTGGTACCTGCCACGTCAGGTATAATATAATCTTTTAAAACAGGCATAAAATAGTTTTTAATATGTTATTTCTCATACTTATGTAGCGAGGAGAAAGCCAGTTGTAAAACCACAGATGTCTTGAACTGTTCACACTGCTTAAATTATTTACTTGCTTGAATATTATATGTAGGTTCAAACTGAGCAAACTCACAAGGGGAAAGATGTATTAAAGCATTTCATTATAATTCCCAGCCTCTTTTTGAATTTGTTTCATACAGGCTGCTGCAGATCCAATGTCTTCCTCTGATGCACCAGAAGATGGCCCAAAGGAAACATCAAGTGTATCGCAGAATATCAGTATGTTTCTGGTTTGACTGGGAGGGGTGTATCATGTTGGAAGTTTATTAAGCTAAACGTCCATGCCTTTTCCACCCTAATAAGGATGTGGCTGTTGGCACACAAGAGAGATGGGAATGAGGTCATATCTGACTTAATCTGTTCGTGATTTGTAGAAAAGCCCAGTTGTATAAACCAAATTTGGAAGGAACAATGACAGCAATTGTCAGTTTGCTGCTCACATGCTCTCAAAAGAAAGTAAATGGTTTGTGATTTAATAGATCTTTTTGGCTATTGTTTTAAGCTCAGTTGTTGCTCTCTAAGCCAGAGATGTATAAGTATGTATTTGCTTCAACATTCTGGCATCTAGTGTTGTGATGTTGAATAAGTTTTCCAAGTGGAATACTTTCCCCATGCTAGTATGATAATGTTTTGATATGAAAGCCAAGCCTGCAGGATGTGGGAATAGAAGTATCCAAGCCAAAACTGTCTTGTG